TTTTAGTCTTGATCATCGTGTTCAACTAATCAATTTAGTACTCATTTTGTGGAGGATATCTTGTTAAACCAGTCAAGTTTCATGGCAGAATACTCACTGTTAAATAACTCAACAATTGCTAAAGTGTAGAGTGCTGTCATGGTTGATATCCTGGATCCTAGCTATTCATGACAGATCCAAGAGTAATAAAAAGAGTTTGGCATCTGCATCATACTACTATTGGATCTGTCCATGACTTCTTTTTTCTTGTAAAACATGCACATTGTCGTTGTTCGAAAAAACAAATATGCAGACTTTCTTCCAGTGACAATTCGTACAATTTAACCCATTGCAGACTCAGGGGCCAGAGACTCAGGACGACAACATGCAAGTGCCGCTCCTTAATGATAAAAATTGCACCGGCAGCAAGGCGCCATTGGTAGTTCTCGGTGAGGAGAGCTCCATGTTCTGATTTTTCTTTTCGGAAAACAGGTTAGGTTTGAGCCTGTAGTCCTGTACTAACCGCTGTAGTGTGGTGCTGCTTCTGCATTCAGGGTTCGAGTGCTTGGAGAGCACAGCGTTCAATGGCATCTCGACCAACCTGGTGATGTACCTGGAGACCGTCCTCCACGGCAGCAACGTGGCCAGCGCCTCCAACGTCACCATGTGGTTCGGCACTAGCTACATGATACCAGTCTTCGGCGCCATCATCGCCGACGCCTTCTGGGGCAACTACAACACCATCCTCGTCTCCCTCGCCATCTACCTTCTTGTATGTACACGCCCTGCCTCTTTTTTTAATTCTCCTAGCCGTCGCATCCGGCGCTACCTAGCTGATTCTGTCTGCGTGCGCCACCTGCAGGGGATGATTCTGGTGACCTTATCGGCGTTCCTGCCGACGGCTACGGTGCTCGGCGGCTCCTCGGTGTTCGGCGCGCACACTGTGGCGTTCGTGGGGCTTTACCTCGTCGCGATCGGGAGCGGCGGGGTGCGGTCGTCGCTGCTGCCGTTCGGCGCGGAGCAGTTCGACGACGACAATGTGGTGGACCGCGAGAACAAGATGTCCTTCTTCAGCTGGTTCTACCTCTGCGTCGACTTTGGCCCGATCGTCTCCGGCCTGTTCATCGTGTGGATCCAGGAGAACGTCAGCTGGGGCCTCGGCTTCGGCATCGCTACCGCCTGCATCGCGCTGGCCTTCGGCGCCTTCGTGCTCGCCACGCCCATGTACAAGCGCCCGATGCCCACCGCCAAGGTATGCACCGACTCTAGCTAGCGTTGGACCCACAGCCCAAAATCGCGCGCGGCGCACTGACTATTTCTTGTTGCTTGACGAGGCGGCGGCCGTCATCTCCGACTCCGAGACGGGCTTGAAGGAGATATCAGAGGAGGCGGCGGGCTCGTCGCAGAAGCTCCGCGCCGCGACGAAGGCAGAGGAGTTCAAGATCCTGCTGGGGCTGCTGCCCATCTGGGCGACCAGCATCATCGTCTCCTCGGCGTACACGCAGATGAACACCACCTTCATCCAGCAGGGCAGCGCCATGAACGTGTCCGTCCTGTCGGTGCAGGTGCCACCGGCGTCGATGGGCTCGTTCGAGGTGGTCTGCGTCCTCCTATGGGTGCTGCTCTACGGCCAGGTGATCGTGCCCGCGCTGCGGGGATGCGGGTTCTCGTTCGGCGGCGACGGCGAACCGTCCCAGCTGCAGCGCATGGGCGGCGGCCAGCTCATCATGGCCCTGGCCATGGCGGTCGCGGCGCTCGTGGAGATGAAGCGGCTCGGCAGCGCGGCGCGCGGGGAGGAGATCGCCATCGCGTGGCAGATCCCACAGTACTTCTTCCTGGCCGGCGCGGAGGTGCTCTGCTACATCGCGGAGCTGGAGTTCTTCTACGAAGAGGCGCCGGACACCATGAAGAGCATGTGCACGTCGCTCGCGCTGGTCACCATCGCGTTGGGCAGCTACCTCAGCTCCTTCATCTACGCTATCGTGGCAGCATTCACGGCCACGGCGGACAGTCCCGGCGGGTGGATCTCGGACAACCTCAACCAGGGCCATCTCGACTACTTCTTCTGGACCATGGCCGCCATTTGCACGCTCAACTTCGTCGTGTACAGCGTGTTCGCCAGGAACTACAAGCCCAAGAGTCAAGACTATGCTCTCATGACGTGACTACAAACAGCTCTGCTCCCTTTCTCGTCTGGTAGATTTGTCTCGACTCCTTTGTTGCACCTTTGCCGATTTGTGATTTGTGAAGGGTCATTTGCGAGTTCTGGTTCAACGGCTAGTGCATCTCTGTCAACAGGAAATTGTACATAACATATGTATTGTATCAACAAAATGCAGGATTTCCCCCTTTTTGCATTTTTTGCCCCGTTTACGAGAATGGAAACTGCACAACGTTTTTTTTTCTGAAAAATTCCTTGGATTCTTTCTCATATAGTTGAAATTACATCGTTAAAAATGGGTTAATCAGAAGGGTCCATGCTATTTTTTTTTTTGAAAGATCCGGTTGCCGAGCTTTGTTTAATAGTAAGAGGAAGATAGCAAACAACAGTTGGTTAGATGTGCGAGAAGCGCTCCCTACTGTACCCTAGGCTGCGTGGGTTTAGGTCCATGATAATATAAATTGGATCGGATGTTTTGAGACACGTCGCTACTTTTCACCTAATATGACCGGTGTTAATTAATCTAAAACTTGAAATATACTTTATACTCTTAGTACACTATTGTGCCCACGCGCATACCATTATATTCTCGTGTTGACCAAAATGTCGCTATCACTTATACATGGCCAAACGGGCCGCCCAGGCACGGCATGTCGGGGCACGGCACGATGGTGCTGTTGTGCCGTGCCGCGTAGTGCCGCCGTGCCGACATCTCGGCCCAGGCACGGCACTATAGGCTATTAGCTGTGCCATGCCACTAGGCACGCGCGGCCTGCTCTCCAGCCCGTGCCGCCCCTGTCCATCGCGCCGCACGTTGAGGCCGCTCTCCAGCTCGTCAGCACAGAGGCTATCGCGCCGCTGCAGGAGGTGGAGTGGCCGGGGAAGAAGATGCGCCACCACCGCCACCGGCAGCGCACTGCTCTGCCACCACTGCCGCAGGCGCGCGTGCTGCTCCACCACCGCCGGCCATGCGCTGCTTCACCGCCGCTGGCTGCGTGCCGCGCGCAGATGCGCCGCCGTCGGCCAACGTGCCCGCCACTGCTGCGGATGCGCCATCACGCCGCCGGCCAGAGGCCCTCAGGCCATGGGGGAGGGAGCCAGCCTGAGGCCCTCGGGCATGGGGGAAGGGAGCCGCCGAGCCGGCCTGAGGCCCTCGGGGCGTCGGCGCATCTGAGGAAATGAGACGAGGAGAGAGAGATTGAGAGAAGGAAGTGGGGTTTGGTGTGTGAGAGATGCTTATATACCGGTATCAACGGCTCTGGTTCATCAGGTCGTATCTAACGGTGGAGAATAAACAGGCCCGATCGTGCCAGCCCAGTAATTGTGCCGTGCCTGGGCCGGCACTACGGGCCGACATGGTGGCCCAGGCATAGCACTACGACCGGGCCATGCCTGGGCCGTGCTTCTTAGTGCCGTGCCCGTGCCGGCCCATAGTGCCCGTGCCAAATGGAAATCTATACTATCACTTTTCTCTACGTCCACTCCCTGTCCTTGACATGCATGCTCCACATGTCAACTCCTTCCTCCCATCCACGCCATCTTCATCCTATGCTTGGTTGATAAGCCATGGTTAAAAGCACTGTTGGCTGATTTATTGTGAGAAAAAAATAATGTTTGTTACTAAAAAAGTACGGCTTTTAAGTCAAGCGAACAGGGCGTTTGCTGCGCCGACGAGACCAGAAGGCATGGAGTGGGGCAGCATGGGTCGCCTGGTGAGCCCGAGCAGGGGGAGCGCGTGGGGTCTTGCCCTACATGCTCGCACAGTGCAGCGCCTTGACGGTGAGGGCGAGGTCACTTGGCGGTCCCGCCCATGCCCTACGCCATTTCTCGCCTGCTCCGCAAGGTGCCCCACACTCGCCAGCTCGATTCCTATGCTGCATGACAGCGCTGCACTACAAGATGGGGAAGGGAAGGAGACAGGTCGCGGTGTCCTGAGCTACAGTGTGGCTATGAGGAAATCGGCAGGCAGGGCCAGCGACGCCTTAGCGGGCACACGTCGCAAGCGCTAGACGGATCAGCTTCTCCTTGCGCTAGTAGGAATGGTAGTAGAGATGGAAGCGTAGGTGGGTGTAAGGGCATGACTAGTGGGCCCCATGTGCCAGTGAGTGGATGAAGAGAGAGAGAGTAATATGAGTATTTTGGTCTATATGCAAATACAATGATCTACACGCAGGAACGAATCTAGCCTATTTCATCGGGATTGCGTGACCCCGACAAACTTCAGTAAATCAGTAGAGAATTACTGTACATCGATGTTCATTAATGGTGTTAACCCTATTGTGTTAAATGACCTTGATGAGCTTTGTGGCTGGATCCGCCACTGTCTACACGTGAGTTCAAATAGCTTGAGGAGACGAGGGCGTACAAAGTGACGTTCTGTTGGAAAAGGTTCCAGATTTACTAACGTAGTAGCTGGGCCTTGAGATCAACTAGGCCTACATCACTTGATTAAAAAAAAAACTAGGCTTACTACATACTACATCACGCGCCGATCTTTTCTGGCCCGGTAAGCGCCGCCGTACACATCGTTTGACGGGACGGAAGCGCCGCCGTACGCATCCTTTGACGGGACGGAATCGCAGAAGCGCGTGCTCGCTACGCGATGTCGCATCCCAACTGCTCGTGTTCGCGCAAATGGCTCAGATGTGTTCTCACCCCACGGGCAGCAAAAAATTCTCGCGAAACTTCTATGCTTCGTCACAAGTCTTTGCCCGACTAGTTCTGCGAGGCTAATCCGAGAACCGAAAACTCCACCTGCTTGGCTGCTTTCATCAACTCCGGCGACTTGGAGAAGACGACGTTCCAGAATCCGATCGGAAGTTTGGTGCTCGCGCGTTGAGGGGTTGATTTCGGTGCGCCGATGGGGCAGGCGTTCCGCAAGCTGTTCGATGCCTTCTTCGGCACCAGCGAGATGAGGGTCTGCTGATCTTTTCGCCCGCGATTTTTCTTTCACTATTTGGTTGTACTTTCAACGAACTGCCTGTATCATTTTGTTGACTGTGGTTTTGTGCTTGCTTGTTAGGTTGTGATGCTTGGTCTGGATGCCGCCGGTAAAACCACCATCTTGTACAAGCTACATATCGGGGAGGTTTTGTCGACTGTTCCCACGATTGGTAGGTTATCTGTTTCAGGAATTCCTTCAGTTTTTTTGTTAGCTTAATTAATATTACCAGGGCTCCGGATGTGTTGCCGAGGCAAAGGAGGTTTCTGCTTACAGATTTTACCGAAAAGATTAGCTGAGCACTCTTAGATTGAAAGTAGTATATTTCCTGCAGTTAAACACTTGCTGCTCAATAGATAGCAGTCTATTAGTAACCAATCAATTCGTCTGGTAAACATGTATACCATATCAACTAGTATATGTTCTTAAGGGTTTTATGAGGATAATTAATGATCTTTGTTGTTCTGTTGTATTTGTTCAGTCTGGGTTATCTCCTTTTTAATATAATCGTCAGCTCTCCTGCCTGATTCGTTTAAAAAAATGAACGATGTTTCACTTTGGCTGCAAATTCGTGTGTGATGATATCTCTGTGACACTGCTACTAGGTTTCAATGTCGAGAAAGTTCAATACAAGAATGTGATGTTTACTGTGTGGGATGTTGGTGGCCAAGAAAAGTTGAGGCCCTTGTGGAGGCACTACTTCAACAATACTGATGGCTTGGTATGTTTTATTGCTTTTATTTTTTTAAGACCTTTATAAAATGATATTGATCTGTACTCGACTTTGTATTTGTTCTGCCTAATGGGTTGGGTTATTTATGCTTGACTTGGTGAGTTTGTGGGGATACTCCTGAAAGTATTTTGTAATGTCAATCTCATCCCCGATAATCTTCAGGGCAGTTACCATTTCCCTTCAGTGAAACATTATTCTACATCCATTGCTGCTTTTCTTCCTCGAGATACCATTTTTAAATTCCAGAGTTTTGTTGGGTTTATGATTATGACCAGTTATACATGGTGACTCTTTATGCATGTTCGGAGTTGCAGATCTATGTAGTTGATTCGTTGGATCAGGAGAGAATTGGAAAAGCCAAAGCTGAATTTCAGGTGTGTAAATTGTCATAGTCAGAGCTGCTTATAGCTGAATTCAATTTCTTCAACCAAGTTAATATTGAGCAATTCTGTTGCAGGCAATAATCAATGATCCTTTGATGCTTAACAGCGTCATATTGGTATTTGCCAATAAGCAAGATATGGTGAGGCAACCACACTTGACCCCTTCTTTTAACACGAATATTCCTGAAAATGAATAGTTACTCAACCGTGCAAACGCTGCTTTGATATATTATATCTGTCTGCTTGTGAAAAATTTCCTTTACTTGACTTCAGATATGATTGTAAGTTTCAGAACATTTATTTTATGCTGAAATTGATGCCAAGCCTTTTGAACATCAATTCATATACCAAGAGATCTTCATTTCAGTTTTTAGTGAAGAATACTATGAAGATAAATCTGCATCTCACTGCATTGCAATCAGGCTCTGTTATCTTAAAGAATGGTTCGCTCAGACCTTAACAGATTATCTTGTACTGCATTGATTTAACTCCCAGTGTTTAGTTTAATTTATGTGTAGATGTGATTGCGCTTCTCTGGCATCCCCAATTTAGGATGAGTTCTGCATGAGAAAAGTATACTCTGCCATGAAACATATCATTACTGGCTGCAAGCTGCGCTTCATTTGTTGGTCTGTTGTTAAGGACAATATGTGAACAGTGTGTCTGTATCTTGATCAGATATGTTCTTGTGCATCTGCACCCTCTGCACTTAGTGAGTTCACACCTATGCTAGCTGCTGCTCCCTGATGTAATTTTCCTTGTTTTTTTTAGAAAGGGGCAATGACACCAATGGAGGTGTGTGAGGGCCTTGGCCTCTACGATTTGAAGAATCGCATCTGGCACATCCAAGGCTCTTGTGCGCTCAAAGGTGATGGCCTTTATGAGGGGTTGGACTGGCTGGCAAGCACACTGAAGGAATTGCAAGCTTCAGGTCGGCTACCCTCTGGAGGGACATCGTTGTTCTAATTCTAAGAAGCAAGTCTGCCTGTAAGATCCTTCGGCTGATACTAGTAATAATGGATCGAGAGCTTTTTTTTTTGGTCATGGATTTGTACTAATCCCTGGGGATTTCTTGTCGGTGATCTAACCTGTGATGTAGACCTTGTAAATTTCGTTGCTGAGTTCATACAAAGCTAACCAGCGGATGCATTTGTCACATATATGAGAATTGAGGAGTCAACTTCCACATTCTACTATTGTAAGCATTTCTGTAAATTGAAGTTGGCAAACACAATTTATCTCAAATTGGTGCCATTATATCTATCTGCTGGCCATTCATCAGGATTGAGTTTATTAAACGATGGCTAAATGTGCTTAATGGGCTGCTTCACCCAATGTTCTCTTCAAAAATACATGTGGTGTGCATTGGTAATTTTATATGATACGGTGCCTAATATTTGTATGAATAGTCAGATCGAGAACGGCCAACGTAGGCCATTAGTTCTCTTCCAGAACACACATGTGATGTGTATTGGGGATTTTATTTGGTGCAGTGCCTAATATTTCTATGAATAATCCAGGCCGAGAACAGCCAACGTAGGCTGTATCTGTACCATTCCCTTTTATTAAAAGAATCTTCAATCATATGTGTAGCCAATATAAAAATAAATGACGATAAAAATACCTTGGAAAACCAAGCCCTGAGGCTAGGAGGACAGGTAGAGGAAGAGGAAAGAACCGTGACAGGCGACACTGACGAACGCCGCAACAGCCAGCAGGACACGGGAGCAAAGCAGCAAGCAAACGCCACTCGCCGTTTGCCCCGTGACCCAGTTCCCAGCCGCAGCCACACAAACCGACGGCCCCTCCCGTGCTCTCACCCTCCAGTCCTCGTCGCCACTCGCGCGCCGTGCCGTGTGAGTGATCCTCGTCGCGACTCGCGAGGATGAGATAGAAGCGGTACCGGCCCCCACCCCGGCTCGCTCGCATGACGCATTCGCCGGCGTCCACTGCAGTCTCCGACTCTGGGATGCTGGGCCGCCGCCTCGCGCTGCTCCCGGCGGCGACCGTCTCGCGCGGGGGCACGACGACGCGGGCGCGGATGACGGTGGGGTGCGTGCTGGTCGACCACGTGGCGCCACGGCTCGCGGTGGCCTCGGCCGCGCTCGTGGGTGCCCGGGAGGTGATCGCGGCGGCTGCCGCCGCGGGCGCGGGGGGAAGCGGCGCGGCGCACGGCGCCGTGGCGTCGACGCTTGCGCAGGTCGCTGTCACGGCCGTGGCGATTGCATCGGGGGCGTGCCTCTCAACCAAAGTCGACTTCCTCTGGCCTCGCATCGAGCAGTTGCCAGGTAACAGACGTGCAATTGTGTACAGATTATAGCGACTCGGCCGTATCGTCAGCATAATTAAGCATTAAGCTATGTAAGAACGTTTTAGTAAGCGTTCATTTGTTGAAACAGTTGCCACTGTAAGCAGAGCAGTTATGTTCAGACATAAGCGATTCAGTGACATGTGCGCACAGTTCTTTTGGAATGAAGTGAACATACTACTATGCTTTAGCGTGGACCAGTAGTGACTCATATAACGCCATTGCCTCTTAGCTGATTTCAATTGTTGTCTTATTTCATCGAAAGGTATTTTGTTCAATATGAGAATGTCAGATGCTTATGCTATCTCACTGGATGTATTTTGTGCTTTGTAGTTTGACGTAGTAAAGAAATAATCTACTTTGGCCCCTACTTTGTAGGGTTTGTTTCTTGGGCGAAACGTTCTTAGTTAGAATTATTGATGCAATTAGCCGATAACAATTTTATGACTACAGGATCTTCACCTCGTCAATGTTTGTATTCATTCTGATCGTCAATGTTTGTATTCATTCTGATTACCATCTCATATTTGTATTATGTGCCTTAGCAGACACTCTTATATTTGAAGGAGTGGAGGTGACAGGATACCAGATATTTGAGGATCCAAAGGTGCAGAAAGCAATAGAATTTGCTAGTACAGCCCACCTTGGGCAATTTAGGAGAACAGGAGATCCATATGTTACACACTGCATACATACTGGAAAAATTTTAGCTGCCTTGGTTCCATCAACTGGAGAAAGAGTATTTCCCTCTCCTTCTGTCTTCCGAGAATACATCCTTCATTTTTTTTTCTTCACAAGCTTAATTGGTGAGTGTTTTTCTTCTTTCTTCCCTTATAGGCTGTTAACACAGTTGTGGCTGGCATTCTTCACGATGTTGTTTGTGATACATCAGAGAGCTTGAAGAGCATAGAAGAGCAGTTTGGGGATGATGTTGCTAGCTTGGTATCTGGTGTATCAAAATTAAGCTACATAAACCAGGTGATGTATACCCTGTTGGTATGGATTGAGACTCGATGCAAATTTCCATCTCTTTTATCCGTTATAGTTGAAGCATGCTAAACTATCCATTATGCACCTCATACATGACAATTTCTTTACTCCTTGTTTAACTTAGCTCTTCTAATATTGAGCTGTCCAAAAACTTCATTAGTGCACTGCATCGCAATTTTTTTTGTAACTGTCATTTTAGCAATCAACATATTGAACCAAAGAATCAATCAATTCCTGTACCTATTTCTTGTTTACCCCACCTTGATTGCTTATACATCTAATCAATGTAACCCAATCTGCTGACCCACCACACTCATTGGATCCAAACTACAGTTTTCAGTAGCTTTTAATATGTGTTTTTAGGAAAACACCGCCTACAATAAAAACAAGACCTATTTCAGACTAAACCCAAGTTTCTTTGTTTGATGTTGGAGGAAGCAGTTTACTTCCCTCAGGAACTATTGCTATTGTTCATTACTATTTTCTTTGCGCTGCAGCTACTTCGCAGGCATCGACAAAAAAATACCGGTGGGAGCACTCTTACTTCAGAAGAAGTATGTTCCCTTCCACTAGCCTTTATTGCATGGTGACCTTCCACTAGCCTTTATTGCATGGTGATGAGACTATATTGAACAATTTCAGTGCTCTTCTTATGTAGACTGTCAATCATCAGTCTTTTTTGCATGATTTTGCTTGTTAATGCATGAGTTCAAACAATATATCAGCATGCTTCTGACAAAACTGCTGTGAGATGCCAGAAAAGTATATAAAACTGCTTTTTTGAAAGCCCTGGTTTGATTATCCTCTTGTTGTCAGTCAGGCAAATAATCTACGTGTTATGTTATTGGGGATGGTTGATGATCCTCGTGTGGTGCTCATCAAGCTGGCAGATCGCTTGCACAATATGCGGACAATGTATGCCACTCTAGGCCTTTCATCACTATTTAGCATGTCCTGCTTATTACTTGTTTCCTAAATGTAAAATCACCTTTGTGATCTGAAGTATTTTAGGGATTCAGTTCTTATTGATATTCTCTTTGTTCGTCATGTTCCCTTTCCATGTTATGTTCTGTTGTCAGTTTCTAATATTTTCTTCAGAAAATGGCAAGACATACTCAAAGCACTGGGATGGTCACGGAGAATGAACACTAAAATGCAGTAGGGATCTATATTAGATAAACACATTAGGTTTCAAGTAGAAAAGAAGGAAGGGTGAATTTTGATAATTGGATTCCTGTTTTTGTATTATCTGCCTCTCCTAAAACATTTTCTTTTATCTGCTGCTATTTATGCAAAGGAATTGATGCAGAAAATTCATTATTCATTAATCTATACTCCATGAACATTTCCATCAGCTCCAGTCTAGGCATCAGGTTTACAGACTACCTTATTGTGCTTCATACCCATTGCAAAAGTTTTACTGTGTTCCCCTTATCAAATCCACAGCAATGCATTTTGAATCATTTCAGCATGTCATAAGACAGTTCAAATGATTTCAATTCTCCTACTCTTGACTTCACTATGCTTTCAAATAGCTGTTGGATTCCATAAATTTTGATCCTTGTGGTAAACTTTATTGCAGTTATGCTCTTCCTGTACCTAAAGCTGAAGCTGTTGCTCAAGAGACACTGGCTGTCTGGTGCTCACTTGCTTCTCGATTGGGAGTCTGGGCTTTGAAAGCTGAGCTGGAAGATTTATGCTTTGCTGTCCTTCAGGTATTAATTTTATTCAACATATTAGTTAACTGTGAAACGTTTACTTTATACCATAGACCTTCCACGGTTTAACTGGCATCTAGATGCTTTGAAATTTTTTCAAAAGAAATAATTTCCTTGTCCGAAATCTTTTTTACTAACAAATGGGTAAATTCATGTAAAGCACACAAACCTATGATGATCTTTAGGGCCGTACCTAGAAATTGGAGGCCCTGATGTGAAGCAATAAGGGCCCTAAATTTTGAAAATATAGCAGAACACAAGCATACAAAATTTGCTAGTCACTAGTTTGCTATACAATAATACACAATTTATTTGCGACAACTGGCCAATTGGGGGGATGGCTGGATGAGGAGATGTATGCCTACCTTGCCTAGTTGCCATTGATGGAACCATTGGTGTTGGCATTGGCGGTGGTGACACAGTAGCAGTAGTTAGCATCTTGGTGACGGACCTTTGGCCCTAGCTGTCCATGGTTGGACAAGCAGAAGCGAAAGCAAAGCAAAAAAAAAATAAAACATCGCCTCACTGGCGCCCCACTCACAGCGTACATGTAGTCGCCATTGATCCAATATCCAAGGATCCAAGCGCATGCACTGAAAGTGGAGGTGGTGGGCGCTGAGCCTTAGTTAGTGGGGTTTGAGCCTTTCATGCTCTAGCGTGTGCAACTATTTTTTTTCTTCTAATAACTCATAAACCTTGTTAATTAGTAGTTGATGTACATCTGGGGGGGCTGAAAGGTCCTAATATGGCTAGAGGGGAGGGGGGTGAATAGCCTATTTAAAAATCTACAAACCAACTAGAGCAATTTGATTATTATAACAAATAGCGAAATGCAAACTTGCTCTAGCTCTACAAGGGTTGCAAGCCACCTATCCAACAATTCTAGTTGCTATGATCACTAAACACACAATTTGCTATGTCACTACTCACTAAGAGTTTTCACACTTGCTACACTAAAGAGCTCCACTAGATGAACTTAAACTACAACGCAAACACTCAATTCTAGCTATACTAAAGAGCTTGCTACAACTAGTTTGCAACAAGAATATAAATGAGTGAGTAGGGTGATTATACCGCCGTGTAGAGGAGTGAACCAATCACAAGATGAATACTAAATCAATCACCGGGAGAATACCAAAGGGCAAGAGAACCAATTTTTCTCCCGAGGTTCACGTGCTTGCCGGCACGCTAGTCTCCGTTGTGTCGACCAACACTTAGTGGTTCGGCGGCTAAGAGGTGTTGCACGAACCTCGTCCACACAATTGGACACCACAAGAACCTACCCACAAGTGAGGTAACTCAATAACACGAGCAATCCACTAGAGTTACCTTTCGACTCTCCGCCGGGGAAGGCACAAGACCCCTCACAATCACCACAATCAGAGCCGAAGACAATCACCAACCTCCGCTCGACGATCCTCGCTACCCCAAGCCGTCTAGGTGGCAGCAACCACCAAGAGAAACAAGTGAATCCCGCAGCGAAACACGAATACCAAGTGCCTCTAAATGCAATCACTCAAGCAATGCACTTGGATTCTCTCATAATCTCACAATGATGATGGATCAATGATGGAGATGAGTGGGAGGGTTTTGGATAAGCTCACAAGGTTGCAATATCAATGCAAATGGCCAAGAGAGTGAGCTTGAGCCGGCCATGTGGCTTAAATAGAAGCCTCCACGAAATAGAGCCGTTGGCTCAATTATTCGGCTGACTGCGCATCGACCGGACGCGCTGCTCGAGTGCACCGGACGCACCGTTCGTGAATACCGGACGCATCCGGTAGGTCGACCGGACGCGTCCGGTCGCTCCCAGACCGCCACGTGTCCAGTTCAAACCAAAGTAGCCGTTGCTGCCCACACTTGCTGACGACCGGACGCACAGACCGGACGCTGAAATAGAAATGACCGGACGCAGAGCCGCAGTGTCCGGCCGAGTCCAGAGAGTACCCGAGGCCGATCGGACGCGTCTGTTAGAAACTGACCGGACGCTGCCAGCGTCCGATCAACTGTTTCACCGAACAACGACTTAGTTGATTCACACCGGCGACCGGACACGTCCGGTCGCTATACTGGACACGTCCGATCACTCTATGACCAGCGCGACTAACTCTTTTTCAGCTCTATCTTCTTCACCCTTGCTCAAATGTGCCAACCACCAAGTGTATCACCTTGTGCACATGTGTTAGCATATTTTCACAAACATTTTCAAAGGTGTTAGCACTCCACTAGATCTTAAATGCATATGCAATGAGTTAGAGCATCTAGTGGCACTTTGATAACCGCATTTCGATACGAGTTTCACCCCTCTTAATAGTACGGCTATCGATCCTAAATGTGATCACACTCTCTAAGTGTCTCGATTACTAAAACAAAATGGCTCCTACTACTTATACCTTTGCCTTGAGCCTTTTGTTTTTCTCTTTCTTCTTTTGGAGTCCAAGCATTTGATCATCACCATGTCATCACCATCATTATGATCTTCACCATTTTTTCATCACTTGGAGTAGCGCCACCTATCTCATAAACACTTTGATAAAATAGGTTAGCACTTGGGGTTTTATCAATTTACCAAAACCAAACTAGAGCTTTCAGGGGCCCTAATTTTTTGGAGGCCCTAAACAGTCGCACATGTTGCACACCCTAATATATGACCCTGATGATCTTCTACATTTTCACTTCTTTGCTTGGGTCTTATACTCTCAGTTTTGTAGCTGCAACGATTTGGCATTTACCCTTTATTTTAAATCAACTTGCTTTTGGAAACTATTTTTTCTGTATCTATCTGTATATTTTTATTATTAAATACCTCTGTGTCTCTGCAGCCTCAAATCTTCAAGAAAATACGATCTGAACTTACTTTAATGTGGAGTCATACTGGAAAATCTAAAAATATGAGAAGATCATCAATTCGAAACGAATTGCTTGCCTCAATGAAAGATGGCCATATGACGTCCATCAATGATTTGTTTAGTTCTTGCAACCAAGAAAAAACAAATATGAAGGTGAGTACATTGTAAAATTGCAAATGTGATTCTTTCACACTCTTTTGCTCTCATTTGATCAACATTGACATTTTTCAGCATTCTCATTTGTACTTCCTTATGGCATATTTGTTCTTTTCATTTTTCTTCCATATGACAGCCATTACCTCATATGAACATAGATTTGAATAGAAATCAATGCATCGTTTTTTTACATTTGTTGCCAGATAGGTTGACCATATGTCACATCCAATATCTTAATATATAAATTGCTTTTCTACGTGCAGGACCTATTGCAGGCAATTTTGCCATTTGACATCTTTTTAGATCGGAAGAGGCGTTCATACTTCCTTAGGAATCTCAATAGTAATTCTGGAGAGTCTATACCAAATCCTAAGATAGTTGACGATGCTGCTGTTGCATTAGCATCTTTAGCATCTTGTGAGGAAGAACTTGAGCGAGAATTGCTCATATCAACATCGTAAGCTTTTCTTTCTAATTTCCAGAATGCTTAAATCTGTTCCTCATCGTGTTAATTGTTTTTTTCAGGGATCAACAGGAATTGCCCCCTACTGCTTATATACATTTAAAATAGATAAAAAAAGATAGTAAAGTACAAAAGCAGAGTTTAAGAAATGTAAAAAGAGACAAATAAAATAAAAAAAGGTCACAAAAGGGCTTGTAGCCATTGTTCAATTAGAGAGAAGTACTTCTTTGCTCTATGCATAAGCATCGCAAAGTTGTTCCTAAAGAGCAGCTTGCAGGTTATTATTGAGGGAGCGACACCATTGAAGATGAAACCATTTCTTGCTGTCCAAATCGACAAACTCATTAAAATGATAATTTCCATGAAGAAGGGAACCCCTAGCTGACTCGTCGTGTTAGTTGTGAAGACTACTAACATTATGGTGGTTTTAATACTTGTATTATGTAATTTCTTGTTCAGGTACATACCTGGGATGGAAGTGACTTTGTCGAGTAGACTCAAGAGCTTGTACAGTTTCTACTGCAAGGTACTACTACTTATATATTGCAAAATATATGTGTTGTTTGTAAGCACATGTCTCATCCATCATGAACTTAAATTTAAGAAGTTGTGTGTCATGGATTTACTTTAAATGGCCCTAAACCCAAGCAGCGTGACCGTGCCGATGCCTGACGGCCGCACAACAAGGGCTGGGCTAAAAAAGGGGTAGGGACTCCTGATCTCTGGAAATAGATAACAACTCAAACCAATATACAGCCTGTTTTGATGCTGCTTGCCACTTTGCCAGGCAGCTCAGGAGCCAGGCAAGACCACTAGACGTTCGATTTGCTATGTCTGTGGGCAGGATACGTTGCCTGGCAGGCAGCTGCCAGCCAGGTCGTCATCCAAACATGCCCCTAATCTATTTCTAACAGAACTAAGCCACTTTGGGCCTGGAATGAAAAGTACTGGAACGGGACTGCACGTGAACATTTATGCACCGGCTCTAGGGAGGTTTGGTGCTGCTCCTTGGACCCTAATGTGCTGGATATGACATTATGCTGGATTTTTTAGTCTAACCAAATTATTATTCTTTTTCTTCTTTTGTGCAGCATTCATTTTTAGTGTTAACACATTCTGTCTCCACAGATGAAAAGAAAGGATAAAGGACTTAGGCAAGTGTATGATGCTCGTGCATTGAGGGTGATTGTCGGAGACAAAAATGGTGCCATGCATGGACCTGCTGTCCGGAGTTGTTACAGCATCCTTGATATAGTACACAGGTGACATAAGGATCTAGTGCTGGAATTACTCATATCAATAAGACTACAGATACTAATGTGCTGCTCGATAAAAAAGAAAGAACCGTTACTTTAAGACATTGTACCTGGGTGAACTTACGTTATATTACATATGAAGTAGGTCTTACCATGTTTGTATTGTGAATGTTCGTTGTGGCTAATTTGAGATCTGTGTTTATGTTTGATTTTTTTAGTCCACAATTCACTACACAACACTTATTTCAGTTTAAAACTTTGTTTACTTATTCACTTCCAAACTTTGTAAATTGTCTGCTCCACCTGCAGGCTATGGACTCCAATTGATGGGGAGTTTGATGACTACATTATCAATCCTAAGGGTAGCGGTTACCGAGTAAGAATCATCTAAACATAACATCCATTGTTAGGCAGTACCCTCTGCAGCCAGTAGCCACTAGCACAGTATTACATTCTAGCCAGGATGAAAATTTTCAAAAAAATAGAATTCTGAGTTTTGAATAGCTAGTTTTATATACCAGTTCTATCATGAACTGGCTAGAGTTGAATTGATTTTCTTATAAATTACTTCCTCCAATTTTAAATATAAGTCCATCTATGTTTGTCCTAACTCCTAAGTCAATCTTGAATTTTGATGATCAATACCTAAAATTATATATAGATTGGCAACACAAGGTTAGCATTAAACACGAAAAATACTTTCAAATATAATTACTTTAATTTAGGATAATATATTTTTATAGATATTGGTAGTCAAGGTTACAAACATTTGACTTAGATGGACTTGTATTTGTGAGAGGAAATAGTAGACTGCTGAGTTCATAGTCTGCTTTCCTTCTTTGCTTATTAATTTGCTGTTGTTTTTCCTTTATAGTCACTCCACACAGCAGTTCAGGCATCTGATAGCTCACCACTGGAGGTCCAGATTAGAACCCAGGTGCATAATTTTCTGCCCTTATTTGAATAAATTCTGATAGTTCATGTTGATGCTGATGGAGGTCTCTTCACAGCGTAATGCATGAGTATGCAGAACATGGACTTGCTGCTCATTGGCTGTATAAGGAGAGCAAAGTTGAGTACAGAAGTAGCATGAGTAAGAGAATAAGCCAAAGTACATCATATTCATCTAGTTCTTCAGAAGATGAAAGTTCTATACAGGATGATATCCCATCAAAGTACAGTTCTATGAAAGTGGGGCATCCAGTGCTAAGAATTGAAGGTTGTGACTTACTAGCAGCTGTCATAGTCAGGTATAGCTTCATTCAGAAATAGAAACTGTTATTTGTTCTGGAAGACCAATATTTCAGCTGATATATGTTTAAATCAATTTGCAGTATAGATAAAGGAGGAAAGGAATTGATTGTTGCTGTAAGTTTTAGTCTTGAAGCTTCTGAAGCTGTAGCTGAGCTAAGGTCATCTTTTCAGTTGAAGCGTTGGGAAGCCTATGCTAGGCTTCATAAAAGGTCAATGTGATAGCAATTTTACTCTTAATGGGGTTATTGTGATAAATCACTTACTTTCAGTCTAAACGGTAATACTGACTCTTATTTCAGGTTTCTGAAAAGTGGTGGTGTGCACCTGGACATGGTGACTGGTCAACAAATCTGGAGAGGTACACACTATGCCAGGATGGAATATTTCATAAGGTCTGTACAGCTGAAACATTATTAGCTCTTTATCACTTTGTGTTTCTTCTTCTCAGCCTTTTGTTCTGTTTTAGATTATCTGAGAATGCAAGACTGATCTTGCATGCACATTTGGAATCATTGCACAAACTGAAAATTTTAGAGATACAAGTTACTGCTGGTGTCCTAAACTCCTATTATGTGATTTATGTCATGGGTTTGATTATATTTTGTTTGTCTATGATGTCTTGTTTCAGCAAGACCAATTTGGGAGACTTTTACCTACATTTCTTCAAATAATTGATTTGACGGAAGAGGAAGAGGAAGAGTATTGGATGGTTGTGTCTGCCATATTTGAGGGCAAAGAAACTTGCAGTCTACCATCTGAATCAAGTTATGCTGATAAATCATCTGAACCTCCAAGTTCTACTCCATTAAGTGATCCCATCAACAATAAGGTTAGCATACTACAGCCATCTATGAGAAAGGAAAGATTGTTTACAATCATTTTGTAGCTGTTGTTCTTGCACAATTCAGTGTCTACATCCTCTTTTCTGTTACCTCTCTTCTTTCTCGTGGAATTGTAAGGTATTCCGAAGGAAGAAAATAACATGAATCCTCATTGTTTCCACAATGTGCTCCCGTAGGTGCATTTGCTCAGAACCATGCTTCAATGGGAGGAGCAAGTTCGCCGTGGCGCATCTTTGGCAGAGAAAAGTCTCGGTGTAAACACCTGCACAAAACCAATCCTGCGTGAGGTGGCCATAATATTCTGGCCTAGTGGCAAGATTATGAGAATGAGCACTGGTAGCACAGCTGCTGACGCTGCTAGAAGAATGGGCGTTGAAGGGAAGCTGCTTTGGGTTAATGGCCAAGTAGTGCTGCCCCAAACAGAGCTCAAGGATGGGGATATAGTTGAAGTGAGGGTATAGATGCAAGTACCAGTTTCCAGTACACCTTTGTCAGGGTTATTGGTTCCTCAGTTCTTGCCAGATCTTGGCAACGCAACAGACTGAAGGATTGTAGACATAGGAACCCAAATCTCAATTGTACAGTCCATTTGTCGAAATGAATCGAAGAAAGAAGGATTAGGTGCAGTAAGTGTTGTGTCATACTAGAGTTTACTGTGTACATAAGCAACTGCAAGTATAAGCTGTCTGTCCAGCTGTGCTTCTCCTTGTCCATAGTTACAGTGGTAATGTAAATTTCCGTAAGTAAAGATGTAGTAATGTTTAGTTAGGGATCCACATTTCAGTAGGACTATTGATCTGCAACGTGTTTGTCCGTAAGGGCGAGATGCGTGAAGTTACGGGACATCGACACCTTTTTTAGGCAATACTGTATGAGATATCTTACTTTGGACATGTGTTAAAAAAATAGAAAGAAAGAAAGAAGAAGCTTGCAGCACGAGTGCACTTTATTAACTTGGCTTATAAGCCATATATTTTCAGCCAACAAACAGTATTTTTCTCTCATAACAAATCAGTCAACAGTACTTATCAACCAAGCGAACAGGGCAATGAAGTACACTCGTGCTGCAAGCTTCTTCTTTCTTTCTTTCTATTTTTTTAACATATGTCCAAAGCAAGATATCTCATGCAGTATTGCCTAAAAAAGGTGTGGATGTCCCATAATTTGGCAAGCCAAGCTTTCAAGATTTTTTTTGAAAGGACGGCAAAAGCTTTGCCGCGATTTCTATTAGACGATGAAAGAAAAAGGCAAATGTCCATCTAGTTTTTTGAGCGGAAACTGGGTCCAAAAATCATACAACTCAGGAGAGTGCACCACTCGTCCTAGCAACTTTGGTACAACAATTGGGCAACTATCACAACTCACACCACTACTTCATCCAACTTGGTCAGAACGACTCAACTAAACAACTCAAATATCAACTAACAAGGACCGAAGAAGACGACGTCCTGCCGAGCGACACCAAACAGTAAGGATCAATCGCGAAACTGAAATGCCTAGCCATGCCCTCAAGGAGGAAACGACGCTAAACGCGTCGACATGGTAGCCCGCCAAGGAAGATTTTCACCTGCAACATCCAGTACAGTAGGAGAAGATGTAGGAAAGGACGCCTTCAAGAAGGGAACGATGTCCGCAGACGTCGTCGGCCACGCTTTCGCCCCCACCTCAAACCACCTCCACACCGTCGCCGCCAGAGGCCCAACCCTACCAGGAGGCAGGGTGCGGCGCTTAGACGCCGCCCCTAGGGACACCGACCAGGAGAAGCGTCGGGGAAACCCACCGGAGAGTCCGCCCCCACCGCAACCGGCAATGCCGGCCAGCAGCAGGCAGAACCGACCAACTCCACCATGAAAACCAGCCCGGGGAAGGGGAAAGGCAGATGGCAGGGAGAAGAGGGCCGGGATCAGAAGAAGCCCCAGTCGCCCAACCCACCAACGTCCCCACCCCCTGCCGAGCCGGCCCCGCAACAATCACGCCGCACAACACCTCTAGCAGCCTCCGCGCCGAACTACCGTCGTCACGCCCGCTCCCCAGCCCTCCGTGGATCTCAGTCGAACCACATCACTGGCACCGAGCGAGGAAGACGTAGGATGCCGCAATGGGAGCACCAAGCACCAAGCGCCTGTAGCCCCAGCCACTGGCGGCGTTCCCAGCACCCAGGCTGGAGCCGCCTCCGCGGACGCATGGGCTCCCCGCCGTATGAAAGGTCCTAATATGGCTAGAGGGGGGTGAATAGCCTATTTAAAAATCTACAAATCAACTAGAGCAATTTGATTAGTATGACAAATAGCGAAATGCAAACTTGCTCTAGCTCTACAAGGGTTGCAAGCCACCTATCCAACAATTCTAGTTGCAATGATTACTAGGCACACAACTTGCAATGTTACTACTCACTAAGAGCTCTCAATCTTGCTACTTTAAAGAGCTCCACTAGATGAACTTAAAATAACAAAGCAAGCTCTCAATTCTAATTACACTAAAGAGCTTGCCACAACTAGTTTGCAAGAATATAAATGAGTGAGTAGGGTGATTATACCGCCGTGTAGAGGAGTAAACCAATCACAAGGTGAATATTAAATCAATCACCGGGAGAATACCAAATGGCAAGAGACAACCAATTTTCTCCCGAGGTTCACGTGCTTACCAACACGCTACGTCCCCGTTGTGTCGACCAACACTTGGTGGTTCGGCGGCTAAGAGGTGTTGCACAAACCTCGTCCACATAATTTGGACACCGCAACCCACAAGTGAGGTAACTCAATGACACGAGCAATCCACTAGAGTTACCTTTCGGCGCTCCGCCGGGGAAGGTACAAATCCCCTCACAATCACCGGAGATGGCCACGAACAATCACCGACTCGTGCCGATCCTCCTCCGCTGCACCAAGCCATCTAGGTGGTGGCAACTACCAAGAGCAATAAGCCCCGCAGCAAAACACGAACACCAAGTGCCTCTAGATGCAATCACTCAAGCAATACACTTAGATTCTCTCTCAATCTCCCAATGATGATGAAACAATGATGGAGATGAGTGGAAGGGCTTTGGCTAAGCTCACAAGGTTGCTATGTCAATGCAAATGGCCAAAAGAGTGAGCTTGAGCCGGCCATGGGGCTTAAATAAAAGCCCCCACGAAATAGAGTCGTTGTACCCTTTCACTAGGCACAACACGGGGTGATCGGACGCTTCGGTCAGATCGACCGGACGCACGACCCCAGCATCCGGTCGCCCGATGCTTGCCATGTGTCATCGGCTTCAAACGCTGATCGTTCGATCTCAACGGTCAAGTGATGACCGGACGCGTTAGTTAGAAAGTGACTGGACGCAGGACCCTAGCGTCTGGTCGTTTCTAGTAAGGTTCCAAACGTGAAATTTCATGACCGGACGTGTCCTGTCATGCTCGACCAGACTCACTCGGCGTCCGATCACTCGACGTTTCCTCTGTACGCCTCACGTCAGCATACGTCAGCACTGACCGGACTCAGACCATGAGCGTCCAGTCAGTTTACACACCAGCATCCGGTCACAAGACCAAGACCATGTGCTTACTGCTGTCACTGACCGAACTCTGAACCCAGCGTCCGGTCACTACACCACCAGCGTCCGGTCACTCTGTGAACCCCTGTCTTTTCTGTATAGGGCGCCGGTGAAGTTTCTAACCCTTTCTCAAATGTGCCAACCACCAAGTATCACCTTGTGTACATGTGTTAGCATATTTTCACAAGCATTTTCAAGGGTGTTAGCACTCCACTAGATCCTAAATGCATATGCAATGAGTTAAAGCATCTAGTGGCACTTTGATAACCGTATTTCAATACGAGTTTTACCTCTCTTAATAGTATGACTATCTAACCTAAATGTGATCACACTTGCTAAGTGTCTTGATCACCGAAATAAAATGGCTCCTACTATTTATACCTTTGCCTTGAGCCTTTTGTTTTTCTCTTTCTTCTTTTCAAGTTCAAGCATTTGATCATCACCATGCCATCACCATCGTCATGATCTTCGCCATTGCTTCATTACTTGGAGTAGTGCTACCTATCTCATAATTACTTTGATAAACTAGGTTAGCACTTAGGGTTTCATCAATTAACCAAAACCAAACTAGAGCTTTCAATCTCCCCCTTTTTGGTAATTGATGACAACCCTTTCACAAAAATATGAATTGAGATTTAATTGAATCCACGTTGCTTGCCCAAGCATATTTACCATGTGTAAAAGAATATGGACAAGTTTCATGAACTCCAAATGGTAGTAATTGCTCCCCTTACATATGTGCTAAGAGTTTGAATTGTAGCTTGCACATATGCTTAGATAGGAAATATAGGAGACAATTTCTACCATATGATGCTAAGGTATAAGAGATGGACTTTTGAAGCGTGATACCAATCGGAGTGCACCAATATATCATCCTTAGCACCATTAGTAACTAGACATACACAAAAACTAGAATACCCCATGAGATCAACATTAGAAGCAAGGGTCTAGTTTTCATAATTTGAGCATGAGTCTAGTTACTTAGCCTATGCACGCTAGTTTTTCATTTCATCATTCAAACCTATAACTAGAATACACCACACAAGCATGTATATTGAAATTTAAGACTTGTGCTATGCAAGCAAATATATGAAATGCACATCAAAATGCAACATACAAGTTTATGAGCTTGCTCCCCCTACTTATGTGCATTTTTTATTGATCCCCTTACAATGTTATTTCATTTGTTTGCTCCTCCTATCTTACTATCTTTGTGAATTTCTTTCCCCCTTTGTCAACGATTAGCACAAAAGGTGAGTGAAAGTGCATCTAGCCCTTTAGTGGGTTTTGGATGATTGAACGACAACGTGATTAAAGGTCTAACCCGTTTGCTAAGTGTGGACAGGTAATACGTTATCTCACAGGTACTTTATGAAAGCCAAAATAACGTGTTGTTGTATAAACAATCTAGTTCAAGCACAAGACAACAATGCAAATGGAATTCATGCAAAGGCTTATTTGTTGTGGGATTTCTATGTGCTATGAGAAAGCAAGCTCTTAAGTATTAATTAATGAGACATGAGGGATTGCATATGGAATGGTCTCATATTTGAAGCTTGCTAAATTGAAATGAAAAAGACAACAATACAAATGAATGGATGATGCAACACAAGATGTGACTTGATGGCTTGAGATGGTGAAGATAGCAAGAAAAGGCTTCGAGGTACTAAGTAAGGGTGAAGGGCAAGCGATGGCTTGGCGGCCGAAGAACCTAGCTAGGGTGAAGAAGAAAGTACTTGCATTTAGTTGAGGTACTAATCAAGCTACGATGGTCATATTGATGTGAAGGATCAAATCACTATTGGAGTGTTTGATAGAAGTGACTTGATACATTTGGGATTATTCAAATTTGATGAATGGAATCAAGTCACGTGCTCAAGATGGCTATGCTCTAGTGAAAAAGATCAATATCAACATGTTGACGCC